GGCTTCCTGGGGTGAATTCTGCCACAAAGTCTGCCAATGCTTGGGCTTTTATTGTGGTTCTGGGTTGAAACTTGATATCGTACTGTCCTAGTTCCATCACCCACTTCAAGATTCGCCCAGAAAAGTTCGCCCTCTCAAACAAAGCTTTTAATGAGAAAGCTGTGAGGACGATTATGGTGTGGGCGTAAAAGTAATGCGAAAACTTCCTTGATGCCATCATCAAGCATAAGGCTAGTTTTTCTAATGCCATGTACCTGGTTTCTGTGCCCAGCATGGTCTTGCTGACATAAAAGATGGGCAGGTGTTAGATTCCTTCCGCTCGGACCAACACTGCACTAACTACATACTGTGAAACTGCCAGGTACAACAAGAGCTCTTCTCCAGGTATTGGGGTTACTAGCAATGGTGGAGAAGACATGTATTCTTTCAAACTCTCTAGGGCGCAGTCACATTCTTCATCCCACTCAAACTTGGCCTTTAGTGCTTGGAAGAATAGTCGACATCTGTCTGACGATCGACTTATGAATCGGTTGAGCGCAGCTGCCATGCCAGTGAGATGCTGCACTTCTTTTACTAAGTTGGGCTTCTCTAGATCCTGAATTGCTTTGATCTGAGAGGGGTCTGCTTCTATACCTCGGTTGGTCACCAGGAAGCCTAGGAATTTGTCAGATCCTACGCCAAACGCACACTTGGATGCATTAAGGCGCAACTTGTTCTTCTTCAGGATCTAGAACATCTCATCTAGGTTCCTGAGATGGTCTTTCTCATCCTTGCTCTTGACCACCATGTTATCGATGTAAGCCTCCATTGTTTTGCCTAACAATGGTTCAAACATCTTGGTGACCATCCGTTGGAATGTTGCCCCTGCGTTCTTTAGGCCAAAGGGCATGACCTTGTAACAATACAGCCCTCTAGGAGTTGTAAAAGATGTGACCTCCTGGTCTGGCTCATACATAGCGATCTGCTGGTAACGTCTATACGCATCAAGAAAGCTAAGCTAGTTGTGTCCTACTCTTGGGTAAGAAAAAGATATCTTTTGGGCATGCCTTGTTGACTGTTTTGTAGTCCACGCAGACACGCCATTTTTCGTTCTTCTTAAGCACTACTACGGTATTTGAGATCCATCTGGGGTAGTGTACCTCTCTAATAGCCCCTGCCTCCAGCAAGTTTCCCACTTCCTCCGCCACTATCTCGGCATGGTGGAGTGCCGATCTACGAGTGCGCTGTATAATTGGTCTGGCAGATGGATGGACATTTAATTGGTGACAGATGAAGTTTGGGTCAATGCCTGGCATATCATACGGCGTCCAGGCGAACACTTCGATGTTAGAGGTCAAGAATTCCATGACCTTTATCCTTTCAGTGCTGGACATAGATGAATCGAGCAAAAAGAACTTTTTCGGGTTCTTTTCATCTATCCTTATCTGTACCAAGTCTTCTACTGCCTTTTTTTCAGCGGCTTTGCCAACATTCGCGAACAACTCATTGCTCTCAGGTTCTTCTATCATTTGTACATACCCCTTGGCAGCGCGGCTGCCATTTACTGTGACGAAACATTGTTTGGACATAATTTGGTCTCCAAAGACCTCTTCAATTACTTTGGCTTTGTTGGGGAACCGCATTACTTGATGTTAGGTTGACGCTACCGATCGCATGGCATGCAGCCATGTCCTTCCCAAGATTATGTTGTAAGTGGAAGGGACTTTCAATACCCAGAATTCCACCTGTTTCGTCATGCTTCCTGCTCTGACTGCAAGGATTATCTTGCCGACTGGCCACTCTGGCATTGAATTGAATCCGATCAGGAGGGATACGGCGGGTGCCAAGTCTTTATCCTCTAGTTTCGTAATACATTATCTCACATGAGCTCCCATGGTCAATCAAAATCCGTTTGACGTCGAAATCCTTGATGCGGAGAGTGACAACTAGTGCATCATTGTGAGGGCAATATATCCTTGCCAAGTCTCTATCTGAAAAAGATATGACATTCGTGGCCTCTGTTTTCTCCTTTTTGATGGCAGGTTATGCACTTAATACCTCCCTTAAGTGCTCAGCTTTCTTGATCATTCCTTTAAGCTCACATACTCGCTCAGGTTTGAACACCCCATGTATTAAGTTGATCACACCTTGAGGTGGGGTGTCGATCGACTTGTTTGGGTTGTCGTGGTTCTGGGGGGCTGGCTGTGTCCCTCATTCTATGTACTGGTCCAAGTGCCCAGATGCCACTAACTCCTTAAAGTGTTGTCTTAATGGCGTGCAATTTTCAGTGCGGTGCCCCTTTTCATCATGGAAGGTGCACCGCGACCTTTCGTCATAGTCCTTCTGTGCTTTTCCCAACTTAGTTGGCCATCTGACGAAAAGTTCATCGCGTATCTCACTGAGAATCCGGTAGATTATTTTTTGAATACCATTGTGATGGCAGTGCAGACTCTTAACCATCTTTTGTCTGAGTCCTCTCTGTTGGCCCGCCTGCCTCGCCCGTTCCTGCTGGGGCGTTCTACCATATTGACCTTTGCCGCAGTCTTTTTGTCTGATATCGCTGCTGTGCCAGATTTTGCTTTAGCACGGGTGCCGTCCTCCTCCACCCAAATGTGCTGGTGTATTCTCTCCATTAAGGCCTCCATCGTGATGGGTGGTGCCATAGTAATTGAATCCCTCAACTTGTTTCCGGCTGGTAGCCCTCTTTTGTACTGCGCGATCGTAAGATTGGTGGGGCAATCTCCTATCTGGTTGAAGGTCTCCCAGTAGCGACTGTTATAGGATCTCAGTGTCTCCTTGTCGCCCATGTCAATGGAGAGTAGCTGGTCGATCTCCACTGGTGTCTTGGTGTTCGTTCTGAACCTTGTCACGAACGCCTCCGCCAATTGCGCCTAGGAGGCGATGCTGTCTTCTGGTAGCCTTTCGAACCAGGTTAAACCTAGGTCGCCTAGGCTGGATGGGAATATGATGCACATCAAAGCCTCGTTCCACCGATATACTGCCATAACCTGGCGAAAGTGACTTAGGTACATGTAGGGGTCCGTCTTCCCTTCGTAAGTCATAAACTTGGGCTGGAGGAAGCCTGAAGGTAATGACGCATTCTCAATTGTCGGAACGAACGGCGAGCTATGCAACCTTGCTAATGCTTTGTCCGTTGGTTCGTAAGCAAGGTGCGGTATTGACATTCCTACCTCGACGCTCCCATGAGTCCGAGGAACCGACCGCTGAAGGGCTGAAACTCTGCGCGGGTTTGGTGCCCTGGCATCCTCCTTCCATCGGGCTTTTTCTTCAAGCACCGTTCGCAAATCAGATGACCTAGGCAACTCCGTCTGCCTGGATGACGTCTGGTGCGTGCGCGAGGGCCGATAGGTGCTTCCTTCAGTATATGACTTCTCAGTTCTCGTTCTCTCAGACCTGGAGTAACGAGTCCTGGGCGTCCTTGTTTGAGTGTCGCCTGTTCTAAGGCTCCTACTCTCTGCTTGTGATGGCGTGGTGTGTCTACCACGACCTTCCGAGTGGCGAGGGGGCGTACTGCCTTTGCGCCATTCTCTTGTCGCCACCCATTTTCCTTTTATCTGGCGCTTCATCAACTCCATGTCTGCCGCCATCCTTCGTATCAACTTATCTTGTTCATTCACGCGATCCTCCAGAACCTGAGGGTCAATCCTCCGTCTCTGCCTTTCGGGGCTTTGAGAGTGTTGGGGCTGTTACCCCGCCTTCTCCTTGCATCCCTCCGGGGGTTCTGTCGCTGGGGCTCTAAATCTGCCATGGGAGGGATAGAAGGCAAACCTTCGCGCCTCCCACCCCCCTCTGGGGTTTGTCCGTCGATAGCGGACTGCGGTAAGTCTTCATTGTGCGCCATTGATCTCAACTAGAGAGGAAAGCTTGATCAAGAGGTTTTGTTCCTTGTGGAATTCCCACAGATGGCGCCAATTGTACGTGCACGAAATAATTCTTCTCGTATGATCCTGTTGATCAAGCTTGCGCTCCTCGAAACGTCGTCGCCTTGCCACCTGAGAATACAAACGTGAGCTAACCGACGGGTGTGTGCCGGAAACCCCTCCGATGCCTAAGTCAGCACAATAGACAATTGACACAAAAGCTCTATGAATTCAGGAATCAAAGTTGTGTTACCTCTCCATAAGTAATGTTATGAGCTTTTATAAGTTCCGCGTGGCACGATCCTAGTAGGACTCTTATTCCTCCATGCAGAGTCCTCCTAGGAATCATACTCTTGAAAGATAATGCTTATCCTTCAACACCCCCTCACTGCTTAAACCAAGTGAGATGGTTTTACCACGGTTGGATGTTAATATGACCGAGCTAACATGGCCATGCTACAGCCGCAGATTAGACCGAACTCCAACTAGCTCGGTTCTTCCTTTTACTGCGTGTTCCTCGTTTGACATATTCCAACTGGGTTGTTTACTCAACACCGAGCTAACCAAGCATGAGGTAAGAGTTAGCTCGGCGCTCCAACGCATAATAAGGCCAAGATAGCTCGGCTCTCCCAAGCACAGTGCCTAGCTAGCTCGGCCCATACCTGCTTAGCCTTTTAGATCGAAGTAAATATGCTTTTACCTCGGTCCGTCTCGCTGCCCAATTACCAGAGAAGTCTCCTACTTAGCTCGGCCTAATTTAGACATAAATTACCCTCTCAGTTACTTAAAAAGTTATCACTATTCACCAAAAGTTAAAAAGTACAGCTGCACAACTCCTAATCCTAATTTTTCCTTACCCACTAATTTTTATAATTTTTTAATACATATTTTTTCATAAAAAATCAAAAAATTAATCTAAATAATCATATTTTTTTTCTTAATTTTTTTGTCCAAAAAATTAAAAAATCTACTTATTTAGGGCATCCAAAGAACCCTTAAACCAAATCTCAGGCCGTAAATTTACCCTTATTTATTTTTGAGCAGATTGTTGATAGCATTTAGCTTTGTAATAAAGTAATAAAGTAATTTAGCTTTGTAATAAAGTAATAGCGTGCTTGACGATTATCTGGTCTTCGTTCAAGTACCCCTCTCTCTAGACTTACTCCAGAGAGAGAAGAAACAAAAGAGTGAGTGAGACAAAGTAGAAGACCAAAGTAGAAGACCATAAACCCAAAATAAAAGGAAACGTGAAATTAAAGGTTAGGCCTTGGGTTGGTTATGGTGGAAAATTCACTACCCCTTCTAAGAATCAGATCTCGCTCTGTCTCTTCTTTCTCTCATCATCATCATCTTCTTTTTCATCCTCCATGCTCTTCCTCCTCTTCTTCAGCTCCGTCTCGAATGGTGTTGAAACCAGCAGTAAGTTAGCCCCAGTCTTCCTCGGCGGCGGATTCTAGCTAGAAACGGCGGCGTGGAATGCCGGAATAACTGTCGCCGTCAGGGCCTTGGCCGGAATCTCCATGGCTGGCCGCTGTTGTATTCTACACTTCTAGGTCATAACTAACCTCGTATTTGATTTGATTTGATCCGAAGAAATCAATGGATTTTTCGCAGAAAACAGTAGGTGTAAATTAATAGATAGATGAGAACTCTTCGACGAAGTCACACTTCGTCGCCATCGTCTTCAAATTCTTCGTCTTCGTCTTCGCCGTGGATTCATTTGAGATCGGTTTTCCTCGTAGTTGCGGCCTCCTCTCCAGCTTATTGTTCTTCTTCTTCTTCTTCTTCAGATCGGTGAGTTTCTCTCTCAATTAGTCTTCTTTTTTTTTTATATTTTAAATTCAGCTCTATTTTTAGAAAGTTGTGTTTTTTCAATTTAGATCTCGGTATCAGTGTTGTCAGAGTTGTTTTTTATTGAATCAATCTTTAGCTCAACCCTATAGCTCGGCTTTCTTCGGATATTGTTTAACTTGCATTGGATCATGCATTAGTGGTTCCAGCAGTCAAGTTTTGGTGGATAAGGAGGGTTTTAGTTAGAGGTTTGACAAAGTCGACCAGCTAAATGGTTTGACGGAGTCAAATTTGTCTCAATCTGCTTAGTATTATTATGTTCTTGAGTTTATAGAGTGTGTTTATTGTTCACTGTGAATAGCAGTAGCTTGGTCAATTTCTTTGTATTGTTTGTTGCTTTTAGATGCAGTACTGATCGATTTCAGTCTGATGTAGATTGGTTTTTGTTTGAATGAAGATCCGATTAGCTCTTCCCTTGTGCTAGGAATACTATTTTAGTAGGGAAAAAAAAAGGAAAAGAAAAGAGGAGTAGGTTTTCATGTTTTGGAAGAAGGGGGAGAAAAGGGAAATGCTTGCAAGCAAGCGTCATTTATTGAGAATTTTGAGTGTTGACATTTTTTTATAGTGGTCACAACCCATATGCAAAAAAAAAAAAAAAAAATTTTCCAAACCATATGCAAAAAAAAAAAAAAAAAATCTTCCATACATGAAAAAATCTATTCAGAGGCCTCAATGAAATCCCATAATTGATCCATTGCTTCATTCTTTCCAAGTACCTGGCATAGGTGCATAATTAGAATGTTTAAAGTATAGTTATTGATTTGATATTGTGAGCATCAGGGTGATTGAGAAAGTACTTATGGAAAATGAGAAGGATCTCTTACCATGAGGGTCTCTCCCTCTATATCAAAACACCTAGTTGAGCATGGGAAGCTTGTTTTGTCTCATAACTTTACTGGAGATCCCTTCATTTCACCAATATCCAATATGAGTGTGTTACATATTGCCTTTTTGGGTAGAACAATCTCAAGTTTGTGTTTCGGAGGAGGAGCACAAGGGGGTGGAAGCTCTCTTTCAAATTTTATCTCATGGTAGACAGTAGAGAATCGGAGAAAGCCTTTATGAGATTACTACAAGTACCTGGCATAGGTGCAGAAGTTATTAATTTGATGTATTCATTGTGAGCATCGGACGAATTAACAAAGTACCCATGGAAAATAAGAAGGATTGCTTACCATGAGGGTCTCCCCCTCTCTCAATACACCAAGTTGAGCATGGGAAGGTGGTTTTGTCTCATATCTTTATGGAGATCCCTTAACATCACTCAATATCCATTTGAGTTTGACAAATTGTCTTTTGGGGAGGAGGCTTTTTTTCCCAGTAGAGAACTGGAGTTTGAAGCCTTCATGAGTTTGCCAATTAACATGTTTTATTAAAAAAATGGATAATGGCAAGGAATTCCTATATATTAACAGCAGATGTTCAGTCTGCTTGAGGTCCTCCTGTTTTCTTGCTTTGAGGATATATCGAAGGTTAACGAATTAATGCTCTTGGCTTTCATAAATTGGCTTAGGTACTATATATAAATATTCTCAGATATGCTGTGTTTGATTTGCCTTGGTTTTTAAAGTGTTATATGTGCATTAAGTTTGAGACAATGGCTATGGAATTCCCATTAAATAATTTTAACCGGACTTATATACTGGACTCTAGTGTTCTGATTTGGGAAAAAAAATGAAATTTCACCACGATAATTTTCTGGTATTTGTATTTATTTCCAGCCTCATAAAATAAAGTTGATAAAACAAGAAAATTTCCATAGGCCTACAGTGTTGACTAACATGCTTTGGTGAAACAGTGGCTCTAATGTTTGGTACTATGTCGTTTCCATTGGGTCTTGTCAACTAAAGGAGCACACATATAAGTGTCATACTCTTTGTGGGAGCACATGGAACACAGTCCCAATATGCGGCAACTGCAATCCTTTTTCCCTCCCCTGCCCGTTTTGTACTTCTTCCAAGAAATTAAGTGGATGAAGCAGTTTTAGGTATTTGTTTATAGTCTGAGAGATATCGCCCTAAGAATCCAGTGTTCACAAGCACTACAAATTAAAGTCAATGAAATGACTGCACATAAGAAGCTTGAATGATACACTGATTGTGGATATTGATTATCCAATCCAGTTGACATTTCATTGGCAGTGTTATAACCTTCTAGTCACCCAGAGTAGTAGAACTTTAAAGTGGCAAATTGTATAATTGAAACTTTAGGCAAGTAAAGTTCATGCTTACCAAACTGTATGTATCAATATTTATTGCATTCCCTTCCTTCCTCCTTCTGTCCTAAAGAAATAAAAAGGAAAAGATAGAATGGGATTACGTTAGTGAAAGATGAGCTGATCATACAACTTCTACTAGGAAAATCTAAGTTTTGTGTCATTGACATTCATTTCTGTAGTTGGACTATTGTATGTAAACTAAATGCATTTTTTGTGTTAAATTTGGGAATAGGGACATATTTTCTAGCAGGTTCTGATCCCTAGTTCTCATTTTTTTCCCTAATCATATAATAATGGAATTTAATTTTGAATGAAATTATCATAATCAACCGTTACATTTGTTCCTATTTTGCATGGGTATTGGAACTTATCAAACACATAGGAAAAGTGAGGCATGCTGCTGACCTATTTTGAATGAACTTATCATAATGGAATTTAATTTTGAATGAACTTATCATAATCAACCGTTACATTTGTTCCTATTTTGCATGGGTATTGGAACTTATCAAACACGTAGGAAAAGTGAGGCATGCTGCTGACCTATTTTGAATGAACTTATCATAATGGAATTTAATTTTGAATGAACTTATCATAATCAACCATTACATTTGTTCCTATTTTGCATGGGTATTGGAACTTATCAAACATGTAGGAAAAGTGAGGCATGCTGCTGACCTACTGCTTCATTTCTATGATTTCTTGCTGCATTGCATGACCAAATGTCACCCTGGTATTCTTGGTTATTTATAGTGTTATATCAATGCTAGCTTCTTGTTTATGATGATAATTAATAATGCCTATTGTTTCCTTTCCAGGGGTCGTCTCAAATCACCATGGTCCCGCAGGAAAAGAAAACATACCCTTTCACCTCAGCAGTGGAGAAGTTTGTTTACACCAGATGGAAAGCTTCGTCATGGTGGAGTGAAATTTTTGAAAAAAGTTCGAAGTGGAGTGAGTTACCATTTCATTCAGTTCATTGTTCATTTTCAATTTTAAAGTTGTACTTATTCATGCTTGCAGATTTCCTTTTTGCTCTTATAAATATTATAATTTTACTTCCTCATTTTTTATGTAGGGTGTTGATCCAAGTATCAGGTTGGAGGTTTGGCCGTTCCTTCTTGGAGTGTAAGCATGTCCACCATTCAAATATTTGTTTACTGCAATGTATCAGAGATGGACCTTATAAACTTTGATTACTACTTGTAGAGAGAATTTACTCCCTCATTTCCAGATATCAACTATGATTTGGTTGGAGATGTCCCATGCTTTTTGTTTTCCTGCTTGTTTCAGTGGATTCGTATAAATTTACATACTTGCATCCCAGATAATTATATTTGATAACATTTCCATTCATATGGATCCAGTGTCTTCTAAAACCAACTTTTCTTTTATTTTATTATTTTTTCAGGGTTCCTCTCTCTCTCTCTCTCTCTCCCCTTTTAGAATTAGTCCTGCATATATATATATATATATATTATCATTTTGTATTAGTACATCCATTTGCACTTCAAGCTGTGGGTTTTATTGGTCTTGGACATGGTTTTATTTGTGTTTCAATCTTTTGAATTGCTGTGGTTTTGTTTCTGCTCAGTTCTTGCAATCATCAATTATGCCCACCAATTTCTTCTTCTTTTCTTCATCTTATCAAATTAGGAAGGATTAGCCAACTTTCCATCTGCAGAATTGGGACTGCAATAATGGCTTTTGTCCAAAATATTGTTATGTGCTTGGTAATTCAAATAATTGTGGAGGACAATTCAATTGCTGGAGATATTTGCCCAACTTACATATATAAGATTCATGTGCTGAATACTATTTTTGGTTACGATCTATGTTCTTCTTCTGAAACAAGTAAATATAAAATTAGTTGTTCTCTTTCCTTTTTGACTTTAGCTTTCTGCTTGTATGTGATTGGATGCTGTGACACCTCGCCGTATATTTGTGTTCCCTTTATATTTAGGCAGATGCACCAAAATCCTTTATGATGACTGAGTTGCTTTTTCTTTTAAACAGCTATAACTTAAACAGCTCCAAAGAAGAAAGAGAAGTTTTAAGAACACAGAAGAGGTATGCTTGCCAAGTTCGTCTCTCTCACACAAACCGAGTTTCTCTTTTTAGTATTATTATTATTATTATTATTATTTTGTTTTTATTTATTTTGCAATCTATGGATGCAGAAAGGAATATGAAATACTTCGAAGGCAATGCCGACGACTTATAAAATGCAGTGATGACAGTATAAATTTGAGGGAAACTGGTGGAACTAACAGTAGTGGAGATAGTGGGAGTTTCAATCAAGGCATAGATTCTCCAGACTATGAAGATGTCGTTAGTGCCAGGGACTCACTGTCTAGTGAGGAAAGGAACCCATACGTTGAGCATTCCAACCACCCCTGCAGTGCATTGATGGAAGGAGATTTGGGTTCAAGACAAGTCACTGATCCAAATTCCCCTGCATTTGACACTGAATCATCGGACTCCGACTCCTCGGATGACCCTGAAGTGAGTAATACTTTCCCCACTACTGAGAGTGAAAATGATCCATCCAAGGAGGATTCTTCCCCCTCCAGGACAGAAGTCCAGTCAAAACTCCACACCTCCGAAGATTTTTCCACATGGCAACGAATCATCCGCCTGGATGCAGTTCGTGCAAATGAAGAATGGATAGCATACTCCCCAACTCAGGCTGGAGTATCAGTTGAAAGGGCATGCCGGTCTGCTGAGGCCGTTGGATTAAGAGATTATGAACACCTAGAGCCTTGCAGGATCTTCCACGCTGCTCGATTAGTTGCCATCCTCGAAGCCTATGCACTTTACGATCCTGAAATTGGTTACTGCCAGGGGATGAGTGATTTACTTTCTCCAATAATTACCGTGATAACAGATGACCACGAGGCTTTCTGGTGTTTCGTTGGTTTTATGAAGAAAGCTCGGCATAATTTCAGGCTCGATGAGGTAGGTATCAGGAGGCAACTGAACACTGTTTCTAAAATTATTAAACACAAGGATTCTCATCTTTACAGACATTTGGAGAAGCTCGAGGCAGAAGATTGTTTTTTCGTTTACAGGATGGTGATTGTACTCTTCAGAAGGGAATTAACCTTCGAGCAGACAATTGGACTTTGGGAGGTAATGTGGGCCAACCAGGCAGCAATTAGGGCTGGGATTGGAAAGTCTGCGTGGAGCAGGATAAGGCAGCGTGCCCCACCGACAGAAGATCTGTTACTTTATGCAATTGCTGCTTCGGTATTACAAAGGAGGAAACAAATCATAGAGAAATATAGTAGCATGGATGAGATATTAAGAGAGTGCAATAGCATGGCTGGGCATCTTGATGTATGGAAGCTCCTTGACGACGCGCACAATTTGGTGGTGAACCTCCACGACAAGATATAGGCACCCTTGCAGTGTTGGTCCTGGAATGTTGTTCGGTAATTCATTCTCTGCAGTATGGTCTATGAAGTCTCTTTATGCATAGAACACGGGCCATCCTGTGGGGTAATTATTACGTCAGTTTTATTCTCAAACTACTCATAGTCAGCCACGGAGTAAAAAAAGGGACTCAACCCCGCTTTTCACTTTTTTCTCTGTGGCCAGGGTGGAAGGTAATATGGTGGTTTAGAACTGTAGTATAATTTTTTCCGTGGTGAAGCATAGTCCTGCTGCCATCACTAGTCAAATGTACCCATTTTGGATTTGAAAAAAAGAAGAAGAAAGGAATACTTTTTCTCTTCTTAATGGCTTTGCAAACTTAAAGATGAGACCAACCCGTGGAAGTGATTGTCGAAAAACTTGTAGTCTCAGAATAATCTCTTAATTATAGCATCTGTCTATTCCATGTAGATTGATTATGAGTAATATTATGTTCATTTTCGGGCCTTGAGAATTCGTAGGTTGACCCAAAAATTATGCAAATCACAATTGAATCTTACATGAAATTTCTTTTAACCCTTTGCAGTAGAGTGTAAGAAAATTTGATGGATCCTTGAGACTTTTTGAGTTTTTCATTTTGATAATTTCAATACCTATACAATCTGAACTGAACCAAATGTTATATATATATATATATATATATTTGTACTTTAATTCTTTGAATATTAAAAGATAAAGAATTAATAATACATGCTTTGCAAAAAAAAATTTAAGCGGTGACACTTGTAAAACAATTTTCACAATGGTTCTTCATTTATTCCTAATATGGGATTTTTAAAAAAAAAATTAAATTAATTTATGTTGTAACTCCTTCAAAAAAAGGTACAAACCACCCAAGAGATTCATAAGCATAATAAGAAATGTATTATTTTCATTTATCAGAGTTTATATTACAAAAGAGATTACATGCATTACACTTTCATAAATATTCATTCTGAAATTACAGCATGTAACAATAATGGATAACAACAAAAATAAATGCCCTACAGGCTTACATCTTTTCAAGATATCTCTTGATTACAACAAAAGAGTCTTAAGCTCTATACAAGTCAAGCCCTCAACATGAATAACACTTAGCATAAACAAAATAACAAAATGGAGCCTTCACCTCTTAAACCTCCCAAGCTATGTCCTTAGAGGTGGCATGTCACCTATACTTGAAAATGGTTTCCCAAGTATGGTAAGTCAAAACCTAGTAGAGATATGCTAAAACAATATCTGAGGATTAACTAAGAAGTCAGCATCAGATAAATATTCAATACTTGCAAACCAACTTGCACTCTTTTCATAACCAATCATTGGTATAGTTCATTGTAACCTAAACAATTCAAAACGAGACTACAACTCATTTAATAGCACTTCAATAACAATCATTATTCAAACACTTCAGTTTTCTTGCCATTTAACGGAATCACATCCGAGGAAACCGGCACCCATATATGTATAAGATTTCGGGACTTGCACCCTAGACACTCTGGCCAACTTAGTTTTCAATAGAATCCATCCCCTATCTCCTCTCAAATAATAGAATACATTCCCTATCTCCTCCCAAACAAAAATACATGTACAATATATTTAAAACATTGTCATATGCAATGCCTACCAAATTCAAACATTCAACAATTTAATCAACCGTCATATTCGATGACATAATCCATATGACTAGTTTCAGTTTACCTAGTCCTCATGCAGTTTCTACAACAATCATAGTTATCCTTCACCGATAACCCAAAACAGATATTTCTAAACATATAAACAAATCTATCAAACAGATAATTTGCCAAATTTTTCATAGGTAAGAGATTTATCAAATCCAACTACACCATTCATTTATGCGCCCTACCAATTTCATATTTCTCGTATCAATTTCATTATTTATACAAATAATTTATTTAACTCATATTAGGGCAAATCTTCCCATTTTTCAAATATCAATCCCAAGGCTCATTCTCACAGCGCATTCTCACATAACATCATAATCAAGACCTCACATACATATATGAGGCCAAATATAGAAAATCCCTCTTTCAAAAATTCAAACCAAACCCTAACTTCACCCAAATCTTTCCAAATCCCACCATTTATATAAAATGACAAACACCTAGGTTAAAACCCATATCAAAGAGTAAAATATCCCTACCTCAACGTTAGGAGAGCAAAGGAGAAGATGGAGACACTTCAAACAAACTGACACTACGATCTATTCGAATCAACATGAAGCCCCTCAAGGTGCTCTACCTTTTTAACAAAGGGACTAGAGTTGAGAGACTCCCAAATCAAGGTGTATTTATAGAGAGAGAGAAAGAGAGAGAGAGAGAAAGTATTTTAGAGAGAGAAAGAGCTGGGCTAGGGTTTTGGGTGAGAGAGATACAAAAAGTGATGTAGAAAAGCTCTGCTACGAACTGATATACGCGACCTTCGCTTGAGCGAAGGAGTTGTCGCTCGAGCGACCAGATACAACAAATGACCTCGCCCGAGTGCAAGAAGCGTCACTCGAGTGTGAAATGCAAAGCTTTAGGTCTGCCACAGCCGCACACGCATGCTTGAGCGCAAGAAGTCTCGCTCGAGCGAACAAGCAATTTCACCGGGCTCACTCGAGTGCAAGAAACTTCGCTCGAGTGAAGAACTTCCCCTTCCCAGAAAAACTGCGTCTGGGAAAGAAACCTGAAGACCCTCAAACCTCGGTCGAGCGCAAGACACCTCGCTCGAGCAAAGAAAGCCAAATACACAAGGCTCGCTCGAGCGCAAGAAGCCTCGCTCGAGCGAAGAGGCTAAAATCTAGACAACAACAATCTAAATCAATCAACAATCAACATGTTCCAAACACGCTTAACAAGTTCCAAAATTCAAATACAAAGAGTCAAAGGGGAAAAACAAGACATGGACACAATATTCAACCATGGAACCCAAATCCAGGACACAATAAAAGTTGGAGCAAAACTGAGATCGCTATATCTATCTAACTGACAAAACTAACAAAATCGAAACCATAGCATAACATTTGTCTCCATTCCTCAATCAACAAAATTGAAAGATTCAATTTAATTTGTACTAAACTTGCTCTCAACCCCCGCCAAACCAACTGCTTACACCTATAATGTAATCTAAAATAATATAAAACAGATGCAAGTATCCTTGTTTGGAAATTGATTATTTTAGTTAATTTTTTGACTTCTTATTAAAAGAATGTGCAAAAAAAATAGAGTATAAAAGAAAAAAGATGAGAATAAAAATCAAACCATTTGAGAATGTAACACAACAACACTTGAATGCCGATCAACAAGGAAAACCAAGTTAAAAGGAAACCAACAACAAAGTGACTCTATTATCAAGCAAAATAGATTTGAGTCATTGGCAGCACATCAATTTCCGAAACACATCCAAGAACTACGATTGACACTTTAGAACTATACGAACAGGTAATTAATCAAAGCACGCCCTAACCATAAAGAAACTAAACAAGGGGAATTGATTGTTCATTCAACTACTCAACCATTGTAGATGGCCCACCTGACCCCTGCAAGAGTGGCCAAGAGATATTGAAATTGTCACTACTTCTCTTTGGTGTAGTACCGAACACTGAAGGCCAAGCCCAAGATCAAGAGGGGTACAAGGAACTGGAAAATCTTAATCACGAACTCAGGGGTCTTATTGGGATTGTAATGGGATTGCTGAGGTGGAATGTAAGAGCGCTTCAGGGGAACAGTTGATGAATCTATTCCACCAATGTAATACTTCTCCATCATTTCTCTAGCAGAATCACTATGGCCAACGTCTTCAAAATCATTTGTTGCATCTTTCCCTGCAAAATTCAACAAAATTGGCAAACTCTCCTCAAGGGCCTGAAAAATAAGAGACAAGTGGGAAAGATTTGTAATATAACATAACATTACCAGTTGATGATAACAAAACTTCATCGCCTCCGGGATGATCATCCATGAATGGGGTGACATCATACACCTGATACGGTAATTTAAGACTCACCAAGTTTTCAATCATAGTTATTTATAATACACAAAGAAACATCTAAAAAAATAAAATATAATAAAAATAAAAATATTTAAAACAGAAAAAGAGGAGAAAATATAAAACCTGGACAATTATTTTATCATATTAAGATTTGGAGTTAGTCTACACTATGCAAGATATTCCAACTTTTCCTGGAGCCGAAATTTCCCACTAAGTTACGATTAGCGCCAATAACTTTTTACTTTGAGAAAAGCAAAATCACTACCCATGGGCAGTGACACAATAGTGTGAAACCAAGAAAGTTATAAAGTATATGGACACTTTCACATAACAAAAGTGTGAAACCAAGAAAGTTCTAAAATGACACTATAATAAAACTAAACAGTTTACCATTATCATGTTATAACATACAAAGACTTGACTTGACTGACTCCTGGTTCACGGCAAGAAGGTTATGTGTATTAGCATTGTGTCATAGCATGACATCATAGCAAAAGACACTAGTTCTACAGAAAGTTGAGGCCTTAACCGACTAGTAACTTCTCAAATTCAAATGAAAATCCTTTCTATCATATTGTATCAAACTTCAGACGAAGTTGCTAAGCTTTTTCTTCTTTGGTTTTCAAATCAACTTTGCTAATTTTCTACGAGACAGATGCTCTTTTATCCAAGAAAAAATATTAATTTCCAAATTCCAAAGAAAATTCATAAATGGATTTATAGGATAACATAAATGCATTCTTAAAATAAAACTGCATCCTAGATGGTATTGAAAATTCAAATTAGATACCAATTAAAAAAAAAAAACCTTTTTAAGTTAAAACCAGTTCATATTTAAAAAAATGTATTCTATGTGATAACTTTTACGTGATATGCTGTCCTTCCATCAAAGTCGCAACTAACACCCAAAAAACAGTGTAGTTTTGACTAAGCACACATCTTACTTTTGTTTCTATGTTGTATACCCAATCATATGTGAGTCGCTACTGTTACAAGATAGCCATGGACTAGACAGTTATGTAAGTCATTATATGGATATATAGAATTTGCTACAAACACACTAGATGGATGGCTTGGATAAACTTATCATTAATATCTTAATGAGAAGATAGACATGCCTAGATGAGCATTATGTGCCAATTTAGTCCAAGTCATGAAAACATAATCCACTCTCCATCATTATGCCTGGACCACCTTAGCCTTCGGTTTACTAGTCAGGAAATATTTTAGGCCCACCCAAATTTTAAAACTAATATCCACAGACAATCTAAGCCCTTGGAGCAAGAAAGTAGTGTTGAGGAGGGATCCAATCACTAAATTCCAGTTAATTTACAAAGAAGGGAATGCAAAGATTTTGACAAGCAAAATTCTTCAGAGGATATAGCAATGTGGAAATTTCTAAGAGTGAATATTTAGTAGTTATGGATGTACAATGGCTCATTCTTACATAGTTTCTTGTACTTTCTATTTTCTGATTTCCTTCCCTTTACATTTTCTCCTTTCTTGGGTTCATGGATGCCTTTAAACATTATTTATCAATCTTGTCTGTGACGCAGACGTTAGCAGGGGCTGCTTAAAAGATTGTGGTTCATAAGCAGTCCATCAACTCCATAGTTCATATGCCTGATCCTAGGGTTGTCCATGATGAAATTTCTTTTATCAACTAAACTAGGGTGTGCGTCATGTCATGCCATCTCAGATTAGTGTCAAAATTACCTTAACGCTAACTTAACCGGTTTATTTTTTTGTGCTATCATGTCGTGTCAGTTATGGTTCGTGCCATATTGTAACATTTTATGTCAAAAAATTTCACTTGTTAAAAAATATTTGTATGACAAAATTAAAATTTTTCCTCACAAGGTTAAATTTTATGAAACTAATCTCTACTTAATGAAATTATTCATAAAAGTATTTGATTTCAACTCAATTATATTTTCCTTATTTAAAAATAAAACTAAAAAACTATACCCTATTTTTTATTTTATTTTTACTCGATTGACTCTAAAATAGTAGACAAAATTACATTAGTTTTAAAATCTTATTTTAAATGTTTTATTCAGGTGGATGGAGTAACTAATTATAGTTTTAAAAAACTTATAAGGTATTCAAAAACATCCTGACATATAATTAGTTTTTCAAGTTATCAGTGTCAACTCCATGCTATAAAGGTTACACACAAACTTGACATGTTGAATACTCATGTTACCGAGTCGTGTCGTATTCATATTCATGTCGGAAAACGGCCAACCCAAACAAATAAATTTGTGCACGATTTCAAGTCATTTTATTGTGTGCTGTTAAAAATTTACACCCTTAACTAAAAGGTTATTACCCAGATACAGCTACAAGTTGCAAAGGAACCCGTTTAAGCACAAATAGGGAAATTGTAGAGAAATCCTTGGGTGTGTACCTTCTGCACACCTAATTAGGACATTTGTGATTTTGGTTATAACATGTTATTGATTATAAGTTATAACCCAATAACTCTTTGGTTATACCTCTATTTGTCTTTCTTATAACTCATTTTTATTAGGGCGAATTACACTAACGATCCCTATAATTTGGGTCTTGTGTCACTTCGGTCCTTAATTTTTCAATTGTGACACATTTGATCCTCAATTTTGAATCTTATTCCAAATAAGGACAATGGAAGATACCACTACTCAATTTCAAAGGTAAAGTCGTCTATTTGATAAAATATAAACTAATTTAATAAAAATAAATGTCATTAAAATATTTTTGAAATTTTAAACCCACTAAAAATAAAATTATATATAATTGATAAATTTTTTAAGAATTTATTTATGGAAAATTTACCCATAAGTCCTAGTTTCTGAAAAGTTGAACCATTTAGTCCTAAAAGTTTTCTTATGCTCCATTTAGTCTCATTTGCACATCAATCTAATATTCGAAACATTAATCTGATGTTCAAAATCTAATGTTCGAAACATTAATCTGATGTTCGAAATCTAATGTTTTTGGGTCTTGTGTCACTTCGGTCCTTAATTTTTCAATTGTGACACATTTGATCCTCAATTTTGAATCTTATTCCAAATAAGGACAATGGAAGATACCACTACTCAATTTCAAGGGTCAAGTCGTCTATTTGATAAAATATAAACTAATTTGATAAAAATAAATGTCATTAAAATATTTTTGAAATTTTAAACCCACTAAAAATAAAATTATATAAAATTGATAAATTTTTTAAGAATTTATTTATTTATATTTTTTTATCAAATTAATTTTTATTATGTTTTAATCTTGTAATGTGTGGTTGTTTTTATTTTCATTAAATTAATTTTTATTTTTTCCAAAGTTAAATATAGCGATAACTTTGATATCATTATTAAACCAATCTATAAAATTAAAAAATTCAAAACTAAAAATATTTTATATATTAAATATATCGATTCCACATTAAAAGCCTAACAACCATCTATTACCTAATCATCATCCAAACACATAATAAAAATTAATTTGGTAAAATAAATAAATAAATAAATGTCTAAAAGATATATCAATTTTATATAATTTTGATAGAAATTATTTTTAAAAATTCAAAAGTATTTTTTTGACATTTATTTTGGTCAAATTAGTTTATATTTTATCAAATTGACAACCTTTGCCTTGAAATTGAGCAATGTATCCTCAATTGTCTTTATTTGGTCAAAATTCAGGTCAAATGTGTCGCAATTAAAAAGTCGGATGAGTCCAAATTATAGGAACTATTAGTGTAACTCATCCTTTTTATTGTTTTAGTTGTGATTCCATAGTATTGACATTTGTGATAATCGAGTCCATAAATCTTATAACTTGCATATAGGACACACCCACCCAGAACAATAATTCTAACATGACCATCAAAATTCCCAAAAACTATTTGAGATGCAAATTTGACACCTCAAAATATACCAACAAAATAAAAGTAAAAAAAAAAAAAAAAAAATCATCAACATGAACCACAGATAAAATCAATTTTGCACAGTATAAACAATCAGAAAAATCGATGAAACGAGATAATCCTAATAGACAAGTGACAAAATAAACAGAAAACAATTTTGTACAGATTTGGAAAAAAAAAAAAATTACCAAAATAAAATGATAAAATGAAGGAAGATCTGACCTTTCCAGATAAAATTAGCCAGCAATCTTTGGTTTTGTTGTGCTTAGCGACCTCTTCAAATGTGTGAATTTTCGGATCTGAAGCCATTTTTTTTCTCTTTTTATTACTGAAACTGCACACAAAACCACCAACGAAAAGAAAATCAAAGAATCAGTTTCTTGGAGATTCTCGATGAATCTGCAAACAAACAAAGGAATCGTAACCTCTTTTTCCTTTCTTGTTTTTGGCTTAGAAAGTGAAGTGGTATAGCCAAGCCTTTCTTCTCACTCCACGATTATTACCAGACCCTGTGATAACAACACAAGCCGAGAAGGACCTCTAATTTATATAGGGCGAAAAGTTGATGATTTTCAAATTGACCCCTTAGATGTTACTAAATTGTAGACTAGTCAACTGAGGGAAATGGCCTAACAACATGTTACACGGGTCAATGAAATAAAATAAAAAAATGCCAGGCGTGTTTCAGCATTTGAGAACAAACTTTACATGCAGGCTTCAAGCGTCCTACGTAACCAACATTATTCGCAAAATGACCTCTTAGATTTTACGACATTGCAGACTAGTCCCTGGTGGAAAAGGCCTAACATGGTTCAAAATAAGAAAATGCCAGGCGTTTTTTCAGCACTTGAGAGCAAACTTCAAGCATCCTACCTAACCAGCATTATTAGTTTGTTTGGTTTTAATTTTTAGAAAATACTTTTAAGAAAAAATTTATTTTTTTTATTTTTTGTATTTTTTTTCAATGGTTCAAAATAAGAAAATGCCAGGCGTTTTTTCAGCACTTGAGAGCAAACTTCAAGCATCCTACCTAACCAGCATTATTAGTTTGTTTGGTTTTAATTTTTAGAAAATACTTTTAAGAAAAAATTTATTTTTTTATTTTTTGTATTTTTTTTCAATGAATTTTTTTAATATTTTAAGTAATATTTTTAATTTTTAGACACACCTAACATAAATACACTTAAAAAATATAATATTTGTGAAAAAAATCTTTAAAAAATTCACTAAATATCAAAAAAAAAATGAAACTTCAGTATATTTTTCTTATTTTTCTGTTTTTATTAATTTTTAAAATATTTTTTCAAAAATATTTTATTATTTAGATACATTTAAGAAAGATGCATTTAAAAAAATATAAAAAAATAGTTAAAATTTTAAAAATATTCACTAAAAATAAAAAAATAAACACGAAAAATAAAAAAAACTCAATTTCTAAAAAATTGAAACCAAACTCACTGATTCTTTTTTTTGGAAAATTAGCCTTTTAATTAAAAAATCACTATAAAAAAATTATCATTTTCTCTGTTTTTTATATGTCATTTAGTAAAAAAAATCAAAAAAATATTAAAAAAAATCAATTGTTAGAGTAAAGGTGCGTTTGAAAATTTAGAATTTTAGTTGCAAAACCAAACTCACTGATTCTTTTTTTTGGAAAATTAGCCTTTTAATTAAAAAATCACTATAAAAAAATTATCATTTTCTCTGTTTTTTATATGTCATTTAGTAAAAAAAATCAATTGTTAGAGTAAAGGTGCGTTTGAAAATTTAGAATTTTAGTTGCAAAGTCAAAATTTTATTTCTTCTATTTATTTTTTAATTTTTTTTATTGTAAAAAATTAAAAGATTATTTATGAATATTTTTTATACGTTCATCTTATATTTTAGTTAAAATAAAAAATAAAAATTCATTAAAAAAAGTCATTTCTAAAAGGCTATCTCCATCAATGTAAATAGACTAATATAGCCTCAATTTTATAAAAGGAGAATTCATCCCTCAGTCATAATTTAAAAATATTATTACATATGTATGAAATTTTTTATAATTTTAATTATTAATATAAATAAAATTTATCATTCATTTATAATTATTTCTAAAGTTTTATACTGATGTAAAATTTTCCCTTTATAAAAAGACCAATATATGTCTTAATTTTCTACAAGGAAAAAATAAAAAATTAAGACAAAAAATAAATTATACATATCAATTAATCATATTTTACCCTACAATTGAAAAATTATTAAAAAACCAACTACCAAAAGGACCTCAAAGAAAAGGATAGGTTGGACATTAAATGCACCATTATGATTCACTTAAATGCTTTAAAATTGTATTTAATGGTATCATTAATTTCTTTCTTTAACAATAGCTGTCAGTTGGTTACAAAATACTAAAGGCCATTTATTAACAAAATTATATTGTTCCATGCTTTTAAAATATTTCGGTGGTTTTATATGCATTAATTAATGTAATATGTTAGTATAGTTAGATTACAACTGTAGAGCACATTAGCTGTCAATTGGTTACAAAATGCTAAAGGCCATTTATTAACAAAACAACATTGTTCCATGCTTTTAAAATATTTCAGTGGTTTTATATGTATTAATTCATGCAGTATGTTAGTATAATTAGATTACAATTGTAGGGTTGTCGTTGCCCCATCAACTCGAACACTTGACCTCTCACTTACCACACCCTAAGGTGTAGCTACTAGACTATTGTGTCACACCCCAATGTCTCTGTTGGCTACATATTTTGTACAAGCCAATTACAATTCGACGCGTGACAAAATAAGGGTAATACAGGAAGACTATTCAAGTCTTCGATCCTGATCGTACACGTGGCAGTTAGTATTGGTTATTACGAGATCTGAGTAGCAGTGGATCAACAAAGAGATGTTAGGTGATGTGACTTCAACGGTTACTCAAATTTGAATTCAAATTTAGGAGGGAAGCCTAACTGCAAATGATGGCATAGTGGAGCTAATTATAAGGCAACATGATCAGCGATCATGGAGGAGCAGTTCAACGGTTGGAAATACAGTTCGATGGTCATCCTTGAGAAGTATAAATAGCAGAGAAGGTCCAGAAAAAGACTCCCAGACTCAGATCCAAAAAACCAGTCTTATTATACTTATTATTTTCCTTTCCAGTTTTTTACATTTTCAGTTTTACATTTCGTGTTCTTTACATTCCTATGTTTTAAATTCCTACACTGCACTTCGTTCATAGGAGTAGTTTCAAGTAGATTGCTGTTGTAAACCTCTACGAGGCTGACTTTGGATTATTGTAAGTTTTTCATTTTAATGAAATGCTTCAACTGTTCTTCATTTAATTATCATTTTGCTTAATTCTCCTAAATCAAGCCACCAGTAAAAGTCCTCTTCAGTGAGGCTGAAAGAACTAAAACACAATCATCTGATAATTGGTTGGCAATTAATTTTCTGTAAGGACTGATTGATCCTTGCTAGCACGCTCGCAATTACAATAATAACATTCGAAAGCCAAAAAGCCAACATATATTTTTAGCACGCCCGGTGGGACTAATTAAAATGGCTAGACGTAGGAGACAAGGAGAATATGAACGCTTGGAAGAAGGCGTGGAATGAGAGGTAGAAGTGCCCAATCCAAAGGATAATGTGATAACACATCCTGTGGAAGCACCTAGTTCATCAAAACCTGTGGTCGAACAGACTAGCACTTCAGAACAACTACCACATGTTCAGAATATTGGACGAAGCCAAGAAATTGGACCATCCACTATTCCATCTACTCAGCCAATAAATCCATGAGGTGGCCTAGTAGATGCTATGGGACAGCAGTTAATGAATACAATGGAAAAATGGGCAACATCCTTTTTGGATCGAATGAATACCCATCAACCAACAAGCACAAGACACATGAAGGAAATTTCAAATGTCCCTCAGCAAAGATTGGTTGAAGATAAACAGCCTATGCAAATTAATGGACATTTTAATGGTCAAACTAGTAATCAAAACTATGAAAGACCATCACCCCAGTCTTGGTATGAACCTATTTCGAGGCCTATGGTAGGTCAAAATGCATCAGTACTTAGCAGTGAAGCCATGCAAGTTGGTGGATCGGGCCTAGTACGAGAAAATGACATAAGATTGGTCCCAAACTCCATGTTCGAAACCATACCTGGCACAAGGGGATTTACTAGTCCTTTATTCGAATTCATGCCTGGGAGGTTGAAAGGTTTTTCTACAAATGGAAGAGACACAACACCTGTTCCAGCACCTTTCGCAGGCCCTTTCGCAGGACAAGCTCAAAGGGGTTACCCACACCCTCAACAACCGGCACCACATGGACAACCAGTCCCAAATATACCACCCTATGGACCAAGAAGACCCCAGGCACAAGGTTGTTCACCAAACCCTGTGTTTGTTCCTCAAGTAGTGGTTCAACAGGCACAAAATATGGTCCCTAGGGACCAAATTGCTGATATTGTTAGAGAGATGTGTGGACCGATGGCTCGGGTGGCTCAAAATGGCTTAGAGTTTAGGCTTCGAAAGAAGTTTGACTTGACTGAGTTCAGAGACTTAGTGGAACTAACGTATAAGGTTTCTAGGTATAAAGCATTATTAGAGGAAGAACAAGATCGAAATAATGCATCGTACAAGACATATTATAGAAATCATAATTATGAGATTGATGCAGCAGAGATTGTGGGGAAAGAACCTGTGATCTGTGAGGCAGTAATTCATAAGGATACAACAATTGACCAGCAGTTTAAAAAGAAAGACCTTCATAGGAAATACTCTTTCGATTTAGCTAAGGCAAATGACATTTTTGATCATTTGCTTGCGGCCAACTTCCTTAAGTTACCAAAAGGAGTCAAAATTCTATCTCCAAATGAACTTAAAGGAAAAGTGTATTGTAAATGGCATAATTCTTAGTTTCACTTGACTAAAAAATGTATTATTTTTTGAGACAGGATCTAGGAACAAATTTGGAAAGGAAATCTAAAATTCCCAGCTAAAGCAGAAAAGGCCATGGGGATCGACAGTAATCCATTTCCAGAAGTTGGAGAAAGTGCAGCTAATGTTGTTGTACCAGACTTCCAGAATTTATCTCTGCAGGAATTGGAAGAGGCCAATGTGCAAATGCATGTTGCTAGCCAGGCTACTGTTAAGAAAGACACTAAAAGTCTGCCAATTGTTGGATAAGGCTCTACAAGTCAAGGAAAAGACTCTGATGAAGAAGCACTGGATGATGATTCCTTAGAGGCAGCAGTTATCCAAAGAATGTGTCCAAGGTGTAGGTTGAGCTATAAGTGGCTGAAGGGGCTCCCGATTGATAGAAAGCAATACTACAGAGATGTCCTAAACCAATCAACGCTTATAACAAAAGGCCATATCCGACTGCTCCCAGGCAACAGCCATTCATGGCTGAATCAGCAGCTACTAGAGTGCAATTCAAGGGTAAGAGGCCTATGCTTGAGTCCAGACCTGCCAACTATTACAGAGTGGAAGGCAATCGTCCTGAAAGAAGGACTGAAATAAGCTTAGGTTATGGGATCAAAGCTAGAAATTGGCCCCCTAGACCAGCCTCACG